ATATATAAGACCAAAAAAAAGGGAAAAAGAAAAAAGAAAAATATATATATATATAAGTTCTACAAATTGAAGATTTTAGGAATGATTTAAATAGTATAACTATTAGTATAAAATTGCCAGCCAACTTAAAAAAAGAATGTAATTTGAATATAATTTGAATTATGGAGTAAGTTGACCAATACAAAAAAATATGTGGTTAATATTTGTCAAGAAATTATTAAAACACTTATTTAAATTAAGAACCTATTTTTTAATTTTTATTTTAACATAAGAACCAATAGTACTTGTTTGTAATTGAATTTACAAGAATGCATGTCTCTCGAAGTTAAGAGTACTGATTTCTACTTTTTACTTTCCATTACCACTTCAAAATAGCAAGTGTGGGAGAGGTGGAGTGATTTTGTGAGTGGAACAATAGATGGGGATCCACATGGTAGTGGAACATGGATCTAGACCACCTATCCTACATTTTTCTTTACAGCCAAACAAAGATTGCAGTACATTTTCCTAATTTTTTAAGCTTAGTGTCAAGGAATTGTAACGGTTAGTTTTTTGTTTTGATTTTTAAAATTATTAATTTTAAAAACAAAATTTAAAAATTAAAATTAACAACAAATTAGATATAAAATTTTAAAATTAAAACTTTAAATTTCACAGTAACTAATTTATAAATCTTAATTTTATTTTAAGGATTTTAAAATTTTGAAAACTAAACCACATATTCAAAATTACATTTATTCTAAATAAAGCCTTGGCAATCATAAATAAATAAAATAGGACAATTAAATATGACTAAAAGAAGTATTATATGCATTTTGTTTCTGTTTTGAAACATATTTAACAGACTTGTCAAATTTGCAAGCACTATAATTAGCTTTTACTATGATATTGTTTTACGTTAGGTGTTTATAATATTACATAATATTTTTAGTTTATAATCATGAAATCCTATAATATAATTATTATTGTACCTATTTACTCATTTACTAATACATTATAATTATAAATAAGTTTATAATAATTATATACAATAATAATTATGGATCATTAGATATCATTTATTAGTTATTTACTGATTTGAATTGTTAATCCAAACACCTAATATTTGGTTTTAAATAAATTCCACAAAAAATTGTGTAATTCGTTTTTCAATCTATATCATCATTATATTTAGTTTGATTAAAAACTAATTATTTGAATTCCATAACTCATACCCTTATGTTTAATTTTATCAAAGTTTTGTGAAAGTCATTTATAATTCTATACTTCTTATGTTTTTCTTTTTGTTAACCTATATTTATTATGTTTGGTTTAATTAAAAAGTGTGGAATTTA